GGACCGTGAAACAAAGTATCCCTCAAATTTCTCATGAAAGCTCACCTGAGCCGGTTTGTGAACGACCGTGTTTCCGGCGGCTAAACAGGCAGCCATTTTCCACGATAGCATCATAAGCGGGTAGTTCCAAGGTGTGAATCAGACCGACCACACCGACTGGCTCACGCTTTGTCAGTGTCAAGTTGAAGTTGGGTCGGGCGTTTGAAATTGGGATTGTGTGGCCCTGAAAGCGATGGATGCAGGTTCACCTTAATACCGTCTATTCTTCGCATGCTCCGCTTTGGCTTCCTGGTTACGGTTTCAAGATTCCCATTCTTGATGGGTGTCTTGAAAGCCGTCCATTCGTGCAATTGATTGGGCCGCCCTCGACGAACATCGCCGGTGACATACAAATGGCGGGAAAGGGGTGCCATTTACTGTAAACTCTAACCTCGATTTTATCGCACCATCCAGCAAAATAGCGCCACACATCGATCGACATTCCTACGTGCGTCTTCAGTGCCAGCGTATAGACCGCTCCTGCGTCAAGTGACTCAAGTGTGGCCAGTTCCTCCTAAAAATACAAACCTTTAGAAGAAAATGTAGATCAAAACACTAGATTGTGAAATTGTACCGTGACGGTTTTATCCATATCGATTTTTGAAAAAATCTATACAAAACAAATACCTTGTGTTCTTCCATCAGGTCGGCCAGTTTGTATAGTCTCTTTCCACGATCACGAGCCGACATTTTTCGCCATTCACCGTTTTCAAATGCCTAGAACAGAATTTTAAAGCCGCTCTATTATGAAACCACAGCCAGGCCTTTTCTAAGTGTAAAGTGCCTCGTTTCACTTATAGCGGGAGGCAACAGGGAAGGGGGAGGATGGGCGAAAGACTTCGCTCACGAAAGGTACCCCAAACTTGCTCGGCACCAAATAATGGAGTGAGTGGACGCTTTGGACACCTACTGGACACTTGCTCTCAAATTTTTCATGCTACGCGCATCTGTTGGGCCTTCAGGTCGTCAAATGACATCTGGGGAGGGGGAGGGTGTAGTCCAGAACATCCAATTTGGCAAAGTATTCGCTTTCTAGTGCATCCTGACACGCCACAGCATTGAGTCCTAGTGCGAATGACTAGGATCAGAGTGAAGAACATTTCGCTGCTCTTGCCGAGGGTCTACGGACAACTAAAACTCAATTCCCTTTAATGGCGCCAATTTTCTGTTTTTCTCTGCGCTCTCTTGCCTGAATGGCGCTTTGTGACCACTTTGACCTTTCACATTCCAACTTTTCACGCATACTAAGTGGCTCATCCAACTCCGTGTCCCCTCCCTTCGAAAAACTCATCTCCTGGCTCGCATCATGCTTTTGTACCTCATGGTGCCTTGGCAGTCGCAGTCCTTTATTGCTCTGCACTCTGGCCTATCGCGGCAGGACCCCCACCAGAAGTTTTAAGTGTCACGCACCAGAAGTTTTAGATGTCACGTTAGCCTTGCCGAGAGACGGACAATCGTTGTTTTGCGTATGCTAACGAGTCGGGTGGTAGGTATTTCGTAAGGTCAGGCGCCTCCGTGAGGCGCATGGAATATGGGCGTGTCGGGTCACGACCGACGAGTTAGCAGAAGCAAAATGGAGTTTTTGACGGAGTATCGGAGTCAAAATAACTTGGTCGCGTGAGGTCGCGCGCGGGGCGCCGTGCAGCGATGAGCGGCCAATCCTCGAAATTTACCGATTTGCCGAACCAGTGGAACTTATGAACTGAAGCTCAAACGAGGCTCTGACGGGCCATATCGAATTTCCCCGCCTCTTTGAGGCTCAA